TGTGTGTGTGTGTGTGTGTGTGTGTGTGTGTGTGTGTGTGTGTGTGTGTGTGTGTGTGTGTGTGTGTGTGTGTGTGTGTGTGCGCATGCAAATGTACCTGTTTTTGCCTCCATTTATAGCAGAGTCAACCTAAAACTGATGGTGACATGTTTGTGTTTGACAGTGTGAAGGAGGAGATGTTTTGGCGGAACTATTTCTACCGGGTGTCTCTGATCAAGCAGTCGGCTCAGCTCACAGCCCTGGCAGCCCAGCAGCAGCGGAACGATAGTGTGGACAAAGGGGCCAGTGTTTCACCTGAAGACATCGTCCTAACAGGTCTGAATTTTTAGCTCTGCTAGAGAGGTAGAGATCACCAAGAAAACTTTGTGGTATCACAGCTGCAGGAAGGCAGGGCAGATTTACAACCCCAATTCCACAGTGGAAAAATTAAATGTAGTGATTTGAAAATCTCTTTTCAAAATCTTTGGTCATGGCTTTATAAAGGTGGTTTATACAGTCAAAGACCTTCACAGTCCTGCAACTTAGGCTGTGTTATTTTACAGTTTGCAGGCACCTAAACACCATGTAAGAAAGAAAGGGGCACAGCTCTCTAAAAGTTGGAAAGATATCAGTTTAAAATGCAAAAGCAGATACTGTGAAAGGAGCTAAAAGCTATATTTATTTTGTTCTCTGGGAAAAGTTGGCATCCCTCTGCCAGATGGTCTGAGAATTCAAGAGTACTTGTACAATAAAGATTACTCAGTCAGATCTTTTGTGGTCTAGAGCCACAGAGAGCTTTATATCCAAACAGCAGTACTTTAAATTGTTCTCTGACACACGGGAATCGATGGCAGAAATTGCTGCCATGTGTTCTTTTCTTGGGCTTTATTGATACTCTGGCAACAGCATTCAGAATAAAAGGAAGGTGTCTATTTGATGTGAAATAATAATGAAGGAAATGGAAAAACCCAATCATCTTAATGCATCGCTGAAATCTCTTTTCCTCCCTTATTTAAATGGGCACATACAGTGTTTGTTAAGACTGATGTGGAATTTATTGTCCTCGTCTGTTTGAGTAGCTCATTGGCTACAGAGAGAGCGAAATTGTAATCCAGCAAACACAAAGGCTTTCAGTAGCGCTGAGAGCAGTTGTCCAAAAAGCCAAGAACAAGTTACCCAACAGTGATGCTTTATGTAGATAGAATGCTGATTGGTTGATAAGCTAAAGGAACCAGGAAAAGGATGATCACCAGGAAGAGGCATGTTATGTAATGAAGGCTTCCTCTCTAAGCTAAAGGATCAAAACCGGTGGAAACATAAAGAGCAGCCCACATTACCAGTTGTTCCATATATTTTTAACACTACCCCCAAGTCACAGTACTTTGCTACAATGTATAAAATGGAGCTAAATACTGTTTTGGTACGGTTTGGGAAGCTCTGTGGACTGTTTGGGAAGCACCTGTGGACTGTTTGGGAAGCTCTGTGGACTGTTTGGGAAGCACCTGTGGACTGTTTGGGAAGCACCTGTGGACTGTTTGGGAAGCACCTGTGGACTTCCAACACAATATCTGAATGTCTGATTCAATTGTTTAATTAGGGAAAGAAATCTGTCTTTTTTAATTATTCAATATAAACATGTAAAACATCATTTCTTTTTTATTTTCTGCTTGGTTGAACTGGTAAACAAATTAGATATTTTATTTAAGGACTGAAAGGTAAAGAAGTCATATCATATAGTATTATAGAGTTACCTAAATGGATCAGGCGGCATCCATGGTAAAAGCTAATAAGGTTTGTGCTCATATTTTGATAAATGACCTCAGACACCGTCCAAAGGTCAGAGGTTAAAGAGTAAGTCCATTGTAATATCAATGTGTTATTTCTTTGTAGACAATGTCAGACCAAAAACGCCGCCAGTTTCCATCAGTGACATACAGAAGGTAAAAGCACTGCACACG